AGGGAGGGATGGGTTTTGCTGGCTCTTTAAAAGCTTCTGTCAAGGAGATGAATGTGAAAGGTACACCAGAGCAGGTGTTCTCCTTCTAAAAATCCATCAGAGCAGCTTCTGTCCAAGGAGAGAGACCTCAAACAAAATCCAGCATCAGCAAACTCTGACAAACAATGGTTTCCAAGGAGAACTCAGACTTCCACCCAAGCCTGGCTCAGCCAAGCACAAAAAGCTCAGTCCTGGGGAAAAACTTTGCACCAACTCAGCAGAATTTCTTAAAAATATTCATTCTTTCATAGAAGAGCATGGCATAAACATCTGAGTGCTGATTCTCAAAATCCATAATTCCTCTAATATTTTAAATAGCACATATGCTCTCATTTGATCCTCTCTGCCAATGAACAGCTGATAATTAATCATAGAATGGTTTGGGTTGGAAAGAGCCTCAAATCCCATCCCATTCCAACTCTGCCATTGACAGGGAGACCTTCACTAGCCCAGGGTGCTCCAAACCCATCCAGCCTGACCTTGGGCACTGCCAGGGATCCAGGGGCAGCCCCAGTTGCTCTGGGTACCCTGTGCCAGGGCCTCATCACCCTCAGAGAGAATCTCACCCTAACATCTAATCTCAACCCACTCTCTTTCAGTTTAGAGCCAGTAATAAAAGCATTTATTAAATAAAGCATGTATTGCCTGTGAGCCTGTGCATTCCAGAAAGAAATGGTTGTTATCTCTTCAAACAACTGTCAGGCCAAATGTGTGCAGGGTCTGAAGCAGAATGTGAAGTTTTTCTCAGAGCTCTATCTATATGTCACTGCCACTACAATTATGTTCTGTCTGTACCAGCACTTGAACCATCAGCAGACATTTTAGTCAGCTCAGGCTTTTGAGATGTTTTCATTTAGAGTCAAAGGGTTTCTTTCTCCTGTGCAGTGCAGAACCAAGTGAAAGAGAGAGAAAGGATGAGTGCAAATCACTTCACCAGAGCAGCACAGATGAGTGGCTGTCCCTGCTCAGTTTGGATTGCAGCTATTGGAATTCAGCGTGTTCCCATCGATTTTCCAACATGCCCAAGCTGCTCTCCCCATGTGGTATCGACTCAGCTGGGCAGCCACGAGGCAGAGACAGTTAAGAAAATATTTACAGGAGACTGAGCCCTACAGTAAATCAGTAATGAACTTGTTTGTCTGACCCATTTATTCATGACCCATAAGTGAGCTTCTGCTTTTTTGCTGGAAACGTCTCCCTCAAACACAACCCCACAGTGGTGCTGCAAAACCCCCAAAGGCAAAACAGACCCTCAGTTTCTCCATCAAAACAGCCCCTCAATTCCTCCATCAAAGCACACCCTCAGTTCCTGCATCAGCCCCTCAATTCCTCCATCAAAGCACACCCTCAGTTCCTCTATCAGAACACACTCCCAATTCCTCTATCAACTTTTCCATTTTCTGTAATGAACACAAGGAGAGAATTTGCATTGTGATCGTTCCTCTCAATCTCTTGATTAACTTCCACTCATCCAAACATGGGTGAGCTTCCTCCAGCTGTGGTGTAGGAATTGAATATCTCCTCTGGAGCTTGGGAGAGCTGGAGGTGCCCAACTGGAGAAGAAAAGGCCCCAAAGAGAGCTCAGAGCCCCTTGCAGAGCCTAAAGGGGCTCCAGGAGAGCTGGAGAGGGACTGGGGACAAGGGAAGGAGGGACAGGACACAGGAAATGGCTCCCACTGCCAGAGGGCAGGGATGGATGGGATTTTGGGAAGGAATTGTGGTGAGGCCCTGGCACAGGGTACCCAGAGCAGCTGTGGCTGCCCCTGGATCCCTGGCAGTGCCCAAGGCCAGGCTGGATGGAGCTTGGGACAGTGAAGGTGTCCCTGCCATGGCAGGGGTTGAACAAGATGAGCTTTAAGGTCCCTTCCAACCCAAACCAGTCTGGAATTCTGTGATCTCTTTCCACTCACTTCAGCCCTGGGAACAGCTCTCAGACAAGTTTACACAAGTTAACAGCATTCTGCTTCCTGCAAATGTAGAAGTGTAAAAGCTAAATATTCTTTCAGGTAAAACAGACACCATCTTCCACTCTGAGTGTTTAATTTCAGCTGTTTATAACTGCTCCTCACACTCACATCAAAGCATCCCAGGACAGGCAGGGGAAGAGGGTTGCTTGTGATGCAGCTTTTCTCATGTAAAGACTTAGCATTACAAGGAAATATTGAATGTAATGCACACACACATTTAAATAAGTGTATCTTAAGAAAATAAAACTTGTTAAGCTCATCCCATCCCTTTATACTTTTACTGGACCTCTGAAAACTGTTTGATGCTCTGTGGGTCCCTTTCTCAGTGACCTGACACCTCTCTAAAGTGCCAAGATTTTATGAACAGCAGCTGTACTTGCCCATGTTGCTTCCAAACCCACAAAGATTTCAGAAATAAATGAGGATTCATCAAAAGCAACATTTTTCCTCGAAGGCTGTTTCCTCTAAACCAAAAGAACACAGACACTTCTTCTCAAATGCCTTGTCCAAGACTTTCAGCAGCACAAAGGACACAGATTCTAGTAGGAATTCACAGAATCATGTAACATTTTGGGTTGGAAGGGACTTTAAAGCTCATCTTGTTCCACCCCTGCCATGTCAGGGACACTTTTCACTGTCCCAGGTTGCTCCAAGCCCTGTGCAGCCTGGCCTTAGGCACTGCCAGGGATCCAGGGGCAGCCACAGCTTCTCACAAAAGTTCATCCAAGAGATCATGGGAGACTTTAAACTGTGGTAAAAGCAGAGAAATAACTGGATGCAAAGCAGTAATTAGGATTCATTAATCCTGTGCTTACAAGTCTCTTTATCCAGCTACCCCTCTGACTCCATAGCACATCCTTTCCTTATCCTAACCCTCCAATCCCTCACCTGGCAAAGCAAGAGGAGCCTCAGCCCATGGAGGGGTTGAGCGAGGCTTTCCTCCTTAAATCTGAGCCTCCAAGCACTGCTGAGGGAGGAGGGTTCACCTCTGAGCACAGCAATGCCCTGGGATCTGACATTCCTCCCTGCAGAGCTGCCACACCTTCTCCAGGAGCTGCCTTGGCGTTTGTTTGGGTGACATGGGAACGTCAGGGAGAGCAGACAGGCTCCTGCTCCTTCCCAGGGATCCCAGGAGGAACGAGAATGTGGGACAAGGGGAGGATTTCTTCTTCAAATTAGTGCTGGTGATACAGATTAACTACAAACACAATGTATTGTTGATTACTGTGTCCAAAGGAGCTTTAAAGAAAATACAGTTTTAAGAAAATACAGGCAGTTCTTGCCAATAAATACTCTTAGAGATGCTTGACACAAGCGTGCACTAACTTTTATGTAAAGAAAAGAAAAATCCTATCATTTTATAGCTCTCATCTGATGCTGTTTAGTGCAGTCACAATGAGCTCTAAGGCTCTTTCCAATTTTCCAGCACAAAGTCCTAAATCTGAGGATGTCCTAATGAGGCCAGAGGAATGCTCAGCACTGGCACAGCCTGGCAGTTCTGCCATGGACCCTGAGGCTTTGGCCAAATCCCCAGGTCAAGGTTTGCAGGCAACATCAGAAGAAACCCTCCCTGTGTAAATGAAGACACACTTTGGCCTGTGGCTGCCACCATGTGCAGAATAATTTTTCTCGGAGAAAAACAAAGCAATCTGCATAATCCTGGCAAATGGGAAAGGCAATTTCAGCAGTCACATCCAGCATTTTGTGCTGCAATTTCCTAAAGGATATTCCAGGCAATTTTAAACACACATCCCCTCCCAGAATCAATCTAGCACTGAAGGCACTTTGGCTCTGTGGGGAAGGAATTGAAGGATTTTCTGCTGGTGCTAATGAAATATGAGGACAGGGTGGTCCAGGTTCAGAAAGCAGCACATCCCTGTGGCAGAGAACTTGATTATCTCAAGGCTTCTCTGCCTCCTTGCTCTTCTTCTTTCCACACATCTTTCCCTTTCCCAAAGGATTTAAGGACCGGTCTCTCCAGCTGGCTGCCCTCTCCTGGATGGAATCAAAAAGTGTTTGATTACTTCCACTTAGATAAAATGCAGTGATCTGCTTTTAATTTTTTTTTTCCTTGGGTCTATGTAATCACAAAGGTTCCACTGTGCCAGAACAAGAACTATGAAATTCTAAGGGGCTGCTTCATAATCCTCAACAGAGCTGCCAACTTTTGTGAGAGTAGAGTTTTTAGCCAAATTGCCTTTTATATATATATTTTACAAAGTTTTAAATTTTTTACACTTCTTTCCTGTATTTACCATTGCCTAAATCCCACTGCTGCTCCCTTGTAAACTACTTAATCCCTCTCCTCAAACACGCTGGAAAACACTTCCATATCTCTTTGTTGCTGAAGGTAAGCGTGTTAAACACTGAATATTTCACTTGGAAGGATCCTTATATAATCCTTTCCTCTGCCTCAAGTCAGGGTCAAATATTTCTTTGCTACTCTCAACCAGCGCTTGGCTGACCCCAGCTAGAGCCAGCTGATAATGGGGACTGCACGGTTTTTGTAGGGAACCAGTCCACTCCTTCCCCAGTTAACCATTAGTGTTCCTATAGGTTTGTTCCCCACTCTTGAGAGGAGCAGAGGAGATGATTTTCCCGCCGGGGAGCTGGGAGTTTCCCTCCGGGAGCCCTCATCTTTAAATCGAGGGCAAGGATTAGGATGCAGGGAGGGAAGGCAGAGGACAAACCCCCCTCGCCGAGGGATTCAGTCGCTGCCAGCGGCGCGGCCGAGCCGGAGCCTTCTCGGGGCGTTGTGCGAGCGCTCTCGCAGAGCAGCCGAGGCTTTGAAACTTTCACTGCACATCTGTGCATCCCTGCCTGCGCTCGGCAGCGAGCCAAGCGCTGAATTCCTGCGAGCCCGTGCAGCTCCCACACGTCCACAAGCGCTAGGACCCAGAGGGAGCCGGCTCGCCGTGAATCAGAGCGGAGCCCCGAGCGCTGGATGAGGCTGCCACGGCAGCGGCGATGTGAATGGCTCACAGGGGCCGGGGACAGCGGTGTCACAGCAGCCTGGACAGCCTGGACAGCCTCGGGGAGCCTCGGGCAGCGCTGCGGCTCCCAGGTGAGCGAGCGGGGCGGGAGCGGCACCGGAGCGCGGCCAGAGCCGGCTCCGGAGCGCTGGGATGCGCTGGGATGCGCTGGGATAAACTGGGATAAACTGGGATAAGCTGGGATGGGATGTCTGTGCAGCGCTCGGAGCGCTCGCTGCTTGCTCGTGGTTCGGTGGAAACGAAAATCGCATCTGCTCAAGGCAGGTTCGGCCGCACGCACATCTGGAAGGTGTTGGTGGGGCAGCTGTGCATAAGCTTAGGGCTTGAAAAGCGTCTTTAGGCAGAGCAGCTTAATCCCAGGGAAATGCAAGTGGTCTTACTCTTTCTATCCAGGTATATGGGAACTTAGTTTTATTTGCATTCTGCAGCAGTTGCGCCTATATGAAAATTCTTTGCTGGCTTTGTTCTGAATATTGAGGCTTTCTTATTTCCTTTTTTCCCCCCGCCCTGTGATAATTCTAGTCTAGAGAAAAACTCCTTTCTTTCTTTACTAATATAAATAAATAGGAATTCTGCTAAATCCAAGCGTGACTGACCCAAGGCAGGATCCTTTTAGCTGCAGACAGAGCAGTGCTTCAGCAGAGACCGTGTATCCTCTGGGATGTCCACTTGGAAAAGCTCACGACCTCCCTGCTGCCTGTGTGTAGTGACAGGATGGAGCTGACAATGTTTATTGATTTATAGCTGGTGATAACACTGTTTTAGCTGAGACACTGCTCACAGATAAAAACAGGGACCCCAGGCAGGGAGACAGAAGGAATTTGTGTGCTGAGAACAAAAAGTGTTTGTGCTTTGGTTCTTTCTTCAATTTAAATTCTCCTTATAAAGCTCAGGAAGTTTTAGAAAAACACCAAAAGTGAGCGTGCTTGTCAGGCTGGTTTTCCAAGTTGTCACAACTTGGAAGTTGCACTGTGGCTGTTAGACAGATAATTTATGGATGTTTTCATGCATTAGAGTATCACTATAAAGTTTTTGGGGTACTTTTTTTGCTAAGTCAAACTAAAATGTGACAATTATCTGCAACAAGACAGAGAGGGAGCTTACTTGTCTGTACATTCCTGCTTGTGGCACTTCTGAGCTGGTTCAGATATTGTGGAAAACAGGCTTTTAAAATCCCCCTGCCAACTGCCATTTCAGGTAGTTTTGCCTGAAATTCAGAGGGTTACAACATTTTCTGCACTTCCCCAAGAGATTACAGGGAAGGACAGAAAGGATTTGACCGATGAATCAAATATATTGGAGAGCTCTCAAGTATGATAAGAAGAACTCTAAAGGCCTTAGAATGTATTAATAATCATAGATATGAATCATTTTAAAACAAATCTCAGCGAGGTCTGGAGAGGAGCCCCCTGACACATGTGTGCAGATCCAGTGATTTCACAGCTTGATCAATCCCAGCCACTCACCCTGGAGGGATCTGGCCCTCCCAACAAGGTGGTAAAGAAAGTAACTGTGGCTCTATTTCCTCATCCTTGTAGCTCAGCAGTGCCCCTTTCCCCCACCAAAATCTGAAATTATATTTTTAGATGTCTTCATTTAATTTCAGTGGAGAGCTACAATGAGCACAAGCATAATTTTAACCCACATGCTAATAATTACTTCATGGGGTAACTGAGCAGCCTATGAAATAACCACAAGATATTAATTGAAAAACTAGTTTAGAAAAAGACCTAAAATACGTATTCAGATTAGCATTTTCAAGCATCTTCTTCAAAAAGACCTAAAATACACATTCAGATTAGTATTTTCAAATAAAGACATCTTTATTTAATGGGATGTCTAGAACAAGGGTCGAATAGAACACATTAAAAACTGGAATGTTTCAACCAATAGAATAAAGCCCATAAATTATTTCCCTACTGCTCCATGACTTTGGCTATATAAGTGTTTCTTTAAGTACAGATTCTATTAATTGGCTGTCTGTTTCCTTAAAAAATGCTTTTAAGACTAACAGAATATTGAATACATACTAATTAGCATTATTGACTTAAATTAAAGGCGCTTGGAAAAAATACTGGTAATTTTAAGAAGTTAAGAGAAATGTTTGATTTTTTTTTTTCATCTACATTTTACAAACAAACTGCTGATAAAGAAAAAGAAAAAAGATAAAGGGTTACTAAAACCCATGGTTTCATTCCAAAAGATTCAGAGCTGTAACAGCAACAGTGAGCGCTGGATTGGTGGGGTTGGAAATGTTTGTCAATCCCAAATGTGGGGCCAATAAAAGCCAGGGAAACTCAACCCCTTCCAGCCCAGCTACAGCAACGCTGACCTCTGCCGGCAGCTGCTCAGGCAAAGGATTTGTTACACCCAAATATTTATTAAATCTCATTCTATCCCCTGAGAAAGGGGCAACACCGAACTCATATCGTGGAAAGAAAGAAAGAAAGAAACTTGTCCCAAAGCAGTGGGGATGGAGAAAGGGCTGGAGCACCAGGAGGGGCTGAGGGAGCTGGGAAGGGGCTCAGCCTGGAGCAAAGGAGGCTCAGGGGGGACCTTGTGGCTCTGCACAACTCCTGACAGGAGGGGACAGCTCAGGGGGTCGGGATCTGCTACAGGGAACAGGGACAGGACAGGAAAAATTGGCCCCAAGTTGTGCCAGAGGAGGGTCAGGTTGGATATTATGGAAAATTCTCTCCTGAAAGGGTTGTCAGATTTAGGACTGAGGGCAGTGCTGGAGTCACCAAACACCCAAAGTGTTCAGAAATGCCCAGGTGTGGCACTTGGGACGTGGGCTCAGTGGTGCTGTGTGGATTCAATCTTCTTAGAGGTCTTTTCCATGAATGATTCCATGCTCCTGTGGGAGCAAAAGGCCATCCACCAACGCTCCTACAACTGCATTCCTGCCCTGGCCAGAAGGAAATTCTCCCTGTGCTGGGTCTGACCTGAGCAGGGTCACAGAGGCCAAAGCATTTGGGAACATTTCTCCAGCCAAAGGCCGGGGACAGATGTCCTGTGGGATGTGTTGTGGCTTTTTCTCTCCCCACAATGCCCTTTGTGCAGCCCCACAGAATTCATTAAATATTTGTGTGTGTGTGTGTGTGTGTGGGGATGTGAATTTATTCACAAAAATTATGTGGTCAAGCAAAGCAAGATCATTTCTGCTGTTGCCAAGAGATCACGGTATCAACCACTGTGAGTTATGTGCGCTCTTGTCTGCCCAGGGCCACCAACACTGAAGGAATTTGGGGGAAAGAAGATCTCAGACCCTCAATATAAACCCATCCCAACCCCAAATCCTGGGTACTGCTGGTAGTTCTGGTCACTGGTTACAAGGATAAAACAAGAAAAGGTGCAGGATGATGAAAGTCTGGAACATTTTCTGTATTTAGAGAAACTACAGAGATTATGATTTCTAAGTCTGGAGAAGAGATGGCTGAGCAGGGGTGTGAGGGAGATATTTATAGTCACAGTTGTCCTTAAGATGTAGAGAGGAAATGGCTGTTGTCAAAAATCGAGGAGCAGGAAATAAAACTGGCAGGTGGCAAAGTCGAGGCAAACAAAACAAGGTGCTCCTCCCTCTGGGCATAAGGGAGCTCTGGAATTCCTCCCCATGGATATGTCAGCTCACAGGGCTCAGGGAGCACTCAGGCACACTGAGAGCAAAGCTGCTGCCTGTGGCTCCATCAGTTTGTGCTTCCAGAACCACCTCTGGGTGGGAGAGCAGCCCGAGGATTTGCTCGCCATGTGTCCCCCACTCCCCAGGGGCTGCAGGAAGCAGAATTCCCAACCTCCTGCTCTAGTTCCTTCTCCTTGGTGCTTCAAATACTCCACCTACCCCAGCCCAAAAAGGTGACTGTGTAATATTTGCTGTGGGTTGCCAGTTCATTGGTGAAAGAATGGCAAAAGGTGAAATACATCCCTCATTTTGCTGTTTGCTCAAGGATTAGGTGAAGGCCAGTGTTCATGGATGTTACCTCTATAGAAAGACATCAGTGATGAGATTTACAGTGATTTTCTCTCTCTGAGACAGTGGAGAAGGGCCTGTGAATCCTGAGGCATCTTGTGAAATTCACTGAAATGGGGAAATACCATTTTATCTCATCTCAATGTGGCCTTCATATGGAGCTGGCATCTTAATTGAAAATTTTTGCTGAACTCAGTAAAAATTCTAACAGCTTCCACTAAAAATATTATGCACAAATAAATCTCAAGTAAAAAGCAGCAGGGCAATGCCTCATTAATTACACTGACAATAACCTTTCACTCTGAGAACTGCATCACCCTGAGAAATGCAGCAGAGAATGGCAATGCCAGCAGTGAATCCTGGGTGCCAAGAACCCGAGTGCATTGGCAGAGAGCTGGGGAGTCACCAAGGACATCCAGAGCTGGCTCCGGCAGCCCAGAGTCAGAACAGCTCCTGGGAGAGACACTGAGATCACACCAGGGCTGGAGAGCAGGAGAAAATCTGCAAAGTGCTGCTCAGTCCTTGGAGCCTGCACACAGCTGGAAGTTGCCCAGTGCAAGGAGAAATCAGGCCCTGAACACACACCAAGGAGGCTCTGCCATAATGTCTAAATTCAAGCTGCAGCAGGTAGCTTGAAATAACATTTGATGGCTTTTCTGCCATCCTTTGAGCTGCCCCAGGCCAGTGCTGACTGAATGAAACACCTCTGACTTTTCCTTATCCTGGAGGCAGCTTTTATCAACTTTCTCCTTTATTCCCCCAGGCTCCTGCATTTCCAACAATGCTTTGAGATTTTATGGCACAGTGCTTGACACCACCAGGTGACCCAAATCAGGATGTAGCAGTCACACACTGTCTGTTGCTGGGACGGGTTTTATCACATAAAATCACAGGATGGTTTGGGTGAGAAGGGAATTCATCCCATCCCACCCTCTGCCATGGCAGGGACACTTCACTGTCCGAGGTTGTTCCAAGCCCCATCCAGCCTGGCCTTGGACACTGCCAGGGATCCAGGGGCAGCCACAGCTGCTCTGCGCACCTGTGCCAGGCCCTGGCACCCTCATAGGGAGGAGTTTGTCCCCAGTATCCATCTAAGCCTGCCCT